AGAAACGTTGATGCAAGAGACACATTGAGTCGTTGCCACCCACACAACCCCAACCGGGACCGGGGACAAACTACAACCAAGGTACATACCCCTAGCAGAAACTGAGCCCAGGACTTTCTGGTCTGCAGTCCGACGCTCTAACCGCTGAACCAAACTGGCCAGGGCTGTACCTTTTTTTAATTCTCAACTAAGGATATATTTTTATTCATTTTAGAGAAGGGGGAGAGAGAGAAACATTCACTGATGCCTCTCATATGCACCACAACCAGGGATTGAACCTGCAATCTAGGTATGTGCCCTGATTAGGAATCGAACCCACAGGTGTACAGGATGATGCTACAACCAACTGAGCTACCCAGCCAGGGCCCAATTTATACTTCTTCATCCTTCCCCTTCTTCATCCATCCCCCACACCCCTCCCATCTGGCAACCATCAAAATATTCTCTATATCTATGAGTTTGTTTCTGTTTTGTTTGTTCATTTGTGTTTTTTTTAGAGTCCACATATAAATGAAATCTCTTGGGTGTATTTTATTTTATTTTTATTTTAAATATGTTTTTATTGATTTTTTTAGAGAGAGAGGAAGGGAGAGACAGAGAGAAATATCGATTGGCTGCCTGCTGCATGCCCCCTACAGGGAATTGATCCAGAAACCCGGGCATGTGCCCTGACCAGGAATTGAACCAGGACCTCTAAGTCCATGGGACAACACTCAATCCACTGAGCCACACCGGCCAGGCTCTTGGGTGTAGTTTAAATAAGGCAGATGCATATATAAAACCTGTCAGCAAAGTAAAATCATTTTTGGAGTCAATTCAGAAACTCAGAGTCCTTCTCTATATTTATTTTCCAATAATTATTTTATAAAAATCATGTACACACACAAATCCAACACTTTTGTCTTTCTGTGTGATACTGTGAGGCTCTTATTTTGATATTGGAGCAGTGGCCGACTTTCAGCAGTCACTTAAGGATATAATTAACACCTGACATACACTCTGCTTCCTGAACTCTTGACTTCTCTGAGAATGTATCTGGAGCCTGGGCAATTATGACCTATATGCACAGCAGAATTTATTCTATTCTTAAATCTTTGGAAATATCCAAATCTATGTGAAAGGTACAACTGAAGTACAGGTCACTAAGCCTAGGTTTTAAGGAGAGAAAAAAATTATTTGCGATGAACAAAATTGTAATTCAACCCTATATGAAGGAATTTGTTCAACATTCCAAGCTATCTTTATTCCAAACTTGGAGGCATCTTGCACATCCACACGTCCACAGGCACACAAATGAAACCAACCACTAAGACTCAGGAAAACACTGCTAAGAAAAAACTTTAGTTCAGGTTTCAGATTTGGGTTCTATGTGGGGTTCTACTTCCCTTAATCCTTCTCTCTCTTCGGAAATAAAACAGTATCGTCCCTAAGTCATAGCCTTCTTGTTGTAGAAGGATCCTGAGAAGTCATCTAGTCTTATATACCATCCGATTCCAGAGCCCCTCTGCCAAACTCTCCAGACAGTCATATGGTGTTAGAAGAGAGGCAGTGTTGCACAATGGTTGGATACACATGCTTTGGAGCAGAGACATAACTGGGTTATCCAGGCTTTACCACTTACAAGCAGTCACCTAGGGTTAAGTATCTTAACCTTAATTTCTTCATTTGTAAACAGTGGGTGATAACAGTACCAGCCTCATAGGGCTATTGTGAGGCTTGAATGGGTTAATAAATATAGTGTTTGACATATATTAAGGACTAAGCACTTATTAAGTGCTCACAAAAATGTAGCTAGCATTGACTACTATTATAAAAGAGCAGCCCATCTCAATGTTAAAACAGCTCCAGCTACTACTAAGGTCAAAACTGGCTTAGCTGCTACTTCTCTCCCATGGATCCTACCCAGCTCTATAGAGCTTAACCCAAGTCCCTGAATCAACAGGGCAGGGCTCATGGCCCACCTGAGTCTTCTTTTACCAAGCAGAAGTGCCCAGTTTCATCAACTGTTCCTCATATGACCCTCCATGACCCATGCTCTCTTTCTTGGACATTTTCCAGCCTGCAGGATCCCTTTACACATGGCTCCTGTTTGGCTTTGTTTACATAATGCTATCATATTGACTATCATGACAGAAAAGCTCAGTCCACAAGGGGTAGAGTGAGGTGGTGATCCACCTAACTCAGCCTTAGACTGTGGTTAATTAAAATCCAGAGACTGATGTCAAGGGTTTGCCAGTTAACCTGTCTGTTGCCGACTGTGAAATGTCAGTTTCTCATCTGTGAAATGAGGGTATAACAATATCTATCTCCCTGAGTAATTGTGTGGATTCAGTGAGGTAGTACTTCCTCGCCCCCCATTCTTTATTGACGTCCTCCAGTACAGTTTTAACACCCACTAGTTCACAGACTGCTCCCATCAACATTACCAAGGATCCTCATGTCATATCTAGTGGTCAAGCCTGGGCTTCCATCTTTCTTGACTATTAAACAGCACTTATCACAGCTGATAACATCTTCCTCTTCTGAACACTTTCTTCACATGTCTTACAGGACACCCCTCTCTCCTGGCTTTATCTCTGGCTACTCCTGCAAGTTTCAATTGCTAGATCCTTCTCTTCAGCTCTCAATGCTCTAGAGTCCCAGGTCAGGCCTCTTCAGTATCTACACTTACTCCCTAGGTCATCTCATCCAGTGTAAAATTGTGGAGCTGGACTGGGTGAGTGCCAGCTCTGTAACATACAAGTTGTATAAGGAGGCAAATGATTTAACCTCATCCATAAAATGGAGTGATTTCCTAAAGTTACTGTAAAGATTGAATTAGTCAACACAGGTGAAGAGCTTAGAATGTGAAGCATTTTATACATGCTGTCTAGTTCCGTGGCTTCATCTGCCATGAATATACTGATGATGCCCACATGCATATTCCCATTCTCCAATACTCGTATCTTACATCTAAAAGCCCACCTGACATCTCCATGTCAATGTCAAACAAGATCTCAGAGATCATATATCAAAAACTGAACTTGATTGCATAACTTCTCTCAACTTTCTTTCTCTTCCCCCACCCCCTCCCCACCAATTCTCACAGGCATCACTAGTCACCCAGTTGCTCAGATGAAAACCTTAGAGTCATCCTCAACTCCTCTCTATTTTCCTTCATCCAATTTTCAAAATACATCCAGAATATGACCTCTTGTTACTACTTCCACCACAACCACCTGACCAAACCACCATCATTTCTTGTCCAAGCAACTGCAATAACACCTATTTGGTACCCTTGCTTCCCTCTTTTATTTTAAATCTTCCTCCAAGGACACATTTTTTAAAAAATTGATTTTGAAAGTGAGAGAGAAAAAAACATCAATCAGTTGCCTCCCATATGCACCCCAACTGGGGATCGAACCCACAACCTAGGTTATGTGCCCTGACTAGGAATTGAACCCACAACCTTTTGGTGCACGGGATGACACTCCAACCAGCTGAACTACCTGGCCAGAGCTCTTGCTTTCCTCTTTGCTCCATATAATCTATTCTCAAGAGCCAGAGTATTCTTTTTTTTTTTATCCTCACCTGAGGATATTTTTCCATTTTTTGTACAGATAGAGTGGGAGGGAGAGACAGACAGAAACATCGACGTGAAGGGACACATCGAGTGGCTGCCACCCTCACGACCAACCAGGGCCGGGGACAAACTGCAACCGAAGTATGTGCCCTTAGCGGGAACCAAACCCGGGTCTCTCCAGACTGCAGGCGGACGCTCCAACCGCTGAGCCAAACTTGCTAGGGCCAGAGTATTCTTTATAAATAAAAATCAGCCCTGGATGGTTTGGCTCAGCAGTTGGAGCATAGGCCCTCGGAGCAGAGTCAATGGGCTCAATTCTGGTCAAGGGCACATGCCTTGGTTACGGTTCGGTCCCTGGCCCCCATCAGGGTTGTGCAGGAAGCAACCAATCAATATGTCTCTCTCACATCGATGTTTCTCTCTCTGTCTCCCTCTCCCCCTCTCCCGCTCTGTCTAAGAATCAATGGAGAATATCCTCAGGTAAGGATTAAAATAAATAAAATAAAAATGAAAATCAGATATTGCTGCCCTACTCAAAATTCTCCAAGACTTCCCATCACACTTGGCACAAAATCTAAATTCTTCCCATTTCCTAAAAGGCTCTATATCAGTGGTTCTCAACCTTCCTACTGCTGCGACCCTTTAATACAGTTCCTCATGTTGGGGTGACCCCCAACCATATAATTTTCGTTGCTACTTCATAATTGTAATTTTGCTACTGTTATGTCTTAGGAGACCCCTGTGAAAGGGTCATTCGACCCTCAAAGGGGTCGCGACCCACAGGTTGAGAACCGCTGCATATGATCTGTCTGCATCCTGGCCTCATCTCCAACCAGTCTCACCTATGCCAGCCACACTGTCTGCCCTGTGTGTGTCCAACTTTACAAACAAGTTTCTGCTTCAGGGCTTGGTGTTTGCACCTACTCTGGCTGGAACGCTCTTCCCTCACATCTTCACATCCCCCTTCCTCATTCCTTTGCAAACTGTTAAATGTTACTTGTGAGAGAGGCTTTCCCAGTCCACCTCATCTAAAAAAAAACACTCCCCTCCCTCCCTCTTGCACCATTCCTGTCTGCCTTTTATCCTATTTTCTTCATAGCATGTAACGACACAGCTGATCATTAAGTTTGTCTATAGAATGTCAGCTCCTTGGGGGTCGCAACTTTATTCCGTTCTGTTCACTGCAGTATCCACAGAACCTAAGCAGTGTCTGGGACCCAGCAGGTGCTCAATAAATATTGGTTTTGATGCATAAAGAAACGAATGGTGCTTGGCACAGTTCCTGGCACATAGTAAACAGCCATAAGTCTGTGTGTCAATTTTAAAAGTTAAAAATGTTTAACAGAAAGCCAAATTTCGTTAGTGACACTTCTTAAGATGTCAAAAATATCATATTTTCACCTAATTTCAATATAAATATACAACATCTTGTACTTACTTGGAGTTTCTTCTAAAATTTCCTGAAACTTGGTTCTCTCATAATCCACCAGCTGGCGTTGAAAATGTGGTCTAAAACTCCTAATTAGAAAATTGGCCATGTCCATATTCATGAGGTCCAGGACATGAAATATTTGTCTAAAAATTAAAGAGTTAAAATAGTTAGATAAGTGATCAAGATATTAATATGAAATTCATTAACTTTCACCTATTTACTGAGATGAAAAAAAGTAAACATCCCCAAAATAGTTTTTAATTTGCAGTCACCCTTTGGCAAGGTCACTTTTCATAGAAAGCGTTACACATGCATTCCAAATGTATTCTTCTACAGCTCTCAAGAGAATTTGCTTTAGCGAATATATTACTTCCAGCTGAGCCATTACATCCAGTCCTGAACTGATAGAAAAAGTACATTAAATGAGTCTTAATAATGAGACAAAAGTTTCAAGAAGGAATTTTCATTTGAAAGCCCCTTTAAAGAGTCTGAACATAGTGTATATGGTTTCTATTCCTAAAGGAATAAGAAAAAAGAAAAGAAAGGATGGGGTACTGAGACACAGGGGGAAAACACTTTCTTTTAGAGTTGAGCTCAAATCCAGCTCTATGGCCAGGCACAAGTTACTCAACCTCTCTGAGCCTCAGTTTTCCCACCTTTGAAAGGAGAGGAAATGGAGGGATGTTGTGAAGAGTCAATGAGATAATGAATGTTAAATGTAGGGGACAGAGGCACCCAGTAAGTGCTCAATAAATGACTAAGATGAACACCACAGATTTGATATCACCCATGGGTAATAAGATAACTAGAAGCAAAGATTCTGCAACTGAAGAACTGCAATTTGCCAGAGCTGAGCACAACTATAAAGATACATAAAACCCATGTTACATATGAGGAAAAGTGACTTTGAAAGGTTATCAACTTGCCCAAGGTCATAAAGTAAGTTACCTGCTACGTGCAGTTTCCTTCCTCTACCTTTCCAATTCTATTAAATAAAACTTATCTATCAATGTGGCTATATTCACATACACACACAAGAAAAGTTCCCCTCAATGGCAAAGAGTGTTGCTAACTCCTCCTCCTTCTGGGATCACAAAGACGTTATCGTCTGCACAGCCAGATGAGATTCGCACTTCCTCAAGGGAGCTGTGAAGAGATGGCTAGCGGACCACCAAAGATCCACACTCCCTTTCCGCAGTGCAGAGTTGTGGCTGGGAAATGTGTTTCCAGACAGCAACCCCATTTCCCAGGCACCCTTCAATCTGGGTGGGACCATGGTACTCGTTAGTGGGAGGTGTCACTTCCAGGTCCAGGTGGTTAAACATGAACTCCTTCCCATTCACCAGCTGAATGTAAAGGACTCTGAGGAGCTGGGCAAGGGCAGAGCCAATGCAAGAAGGGGCCTGAGTCACTGAATGGCATGTGGAAGGCTGCCTGACAAAAACCCTGACATGGACTGTGACATGAATGAGAAACAAATTTTTATTGATTACTCCCTGAGAATTCACGGTAATGTGTTATAGTAGCTAGCATTACCCTAATAAAGAAGCCCTTCTAGAAGCCCTGCTGGAGGTCCTATTAACCTTTCTACTTCCCCTTCCATAGCACTTACCACAACTGTATTTACTTGTTCAAGGTGTGTCTCCCCTCTAGACTATAAACTCCCTGGGGTCAGGGACTATCTCTGTCTTTTTCATCACTGCATCCTTAATGCCCAGCACATGCCAGCTAACCCTGTTAGGTAAATCTATCTGAAAACTATGTATGTACCAAATGACTGACTTAAATCCTTGTTTATTTGTTCTTTTATTTTCCTAGGGCCAAGGATTCCTCTGAGAGACCAGTTATTATTCCGTGTTCCTCAATCCTCACACTTCCCTTCTGAACTCAAAGGTACTCTAAGAAAATGCAAGCAGCAAACATGCTAACCTCAGCACCTCCACGATGTTGCCGGTAGCCTTTAACTTTCTGACATCGTCATCTCTCACAGGTGCGCACAGCTTTCCCATTGTACTGATGATATAGTTGGCCAGGCCTTGGATGTCAACAGCACCGTGCTCAGCCTGCTGCCTAATGAGGTCCGTGTCCAAAACTTCACAAATCTGGTTGCGGAGCCGGTTTCCACTACCGGGGATCAGAAAAGAGAGAAGGATCTACACAGGGAGAGGAAAGAAACATTATAGCATCATTATATGAGTAAAAGCTGTTATTTTTTTATTTCAATGTCTGGATGACCAATGCCCTGGATACCACAGAAGTTTATATGAACTGGGTGGTTGATCAGAGCTCTCTAGTGTCTTAACCCTAAAAAGAAAGATCTAGCTTCTGAATTAAAAGCCCCTCCCCCACTTTTCATGGGAAATGACTGATTCTCACAAGATGAAAGCAGTAAGAAAATAATATTGCTGAAAGAACTTCAAAAGGTTTACAGATAAACTATGCAAAGACAGAACAAGTTGCAGATCATGGCTCCAAAAGAGTTCAATAAAGAAGAATAAATGGAATCCCCCAAGGGGTCTATTAGTATAATACATCACATTTTACATATAAAATATGTATTATATATTATATAAGCAACCTATATTGAGTATTCAGTACACAGCAGACATGGTTTCTTATATAAATAATAGGTATAACTACCTCCCAGTGTTATGGTAAGGATAAATGGACAGTCTAAAACTTGGCACAGAACAAATGTCTTGTTAATGTTAGCTAAAACTGTAACTGTCACCTCATTTAATCCTTACAACTACCCTGCAAGTACTCAGAAAATAAGATCTAAAGAGGGAGAGGCCATCACCAAACCAGGACTATCTAACTCCACAGTCTGTGGTCTTAACCACTGCTCTGTGCGCTAAGCATCACCCTGAGTTCCCTCCACTGCCCCATTTCTCCAGCCTCCGCCCTACTGTAGGAGGTGCAGGAAAAATCCCTCCCAGTGATTGAACTTGCTCGGTTTTTCAAAAAGGATCTCTAATACTGTTTGGAATACATGAAAATAGTCTTTGGGGGAAAACAATTACTAATTAACACAGACAACGTCAACCTACCTCTCTGATTTCTTCAAACAGTTTGATGGCATGGTCATACTCGGGAGGCTCAGCATTCAGTTCTGATTCCAAGACATCCCAGTAGGCCTGGTGGACAATGCGCTTCACTCGGCTGGCCAAGCTATAGGAATAACAAGGATGGTTTTTTTAAAACGAGCATTGTTTTCCCTGTTTATAAAAGGAACATATTCATGGTAGAAATCTTAGAAAATGCAGAAAATTAAAAAATTATTTCATCCCATTATTTCCATTTTTTCTATATTGTTTTAACATAGAGTACCCGGTATGTACAATATTATATACTTGTTTCATTTAATATTTTGTCCTGTTTCCCCTAGATTTTTAAAATGTTTCCTTCCTATAACTTTCGATAAGTTCATAAAATTCTCTCCTAAGAACATATCATAATTGCCTAGCTACTCTTTTACACAGATTCTTGGACTTGTTCTAGATTTGTGGGATAAGATGGCCAAGTTGCCCTTTCCTCAACAGCTGAAGTTTCGTGGCACAGAACAGAACAGATTGGCCTCAAGGAGACATGTATTTGAAAGCCTGCCAGTTTCAGCTTCGATGTCCCACTTAAAGTTAGCCAGACCAAACTGCTGAAACAGGAGCTACCTCGGAAGCACTCACAATAGACTAGAGGGCCACCTTGCCTCACCCCTTATATCAATGCCCTAAAATAGGTGCCCACTGAACTCCTGCCCCATTTGCAACAGCTCTGAGAACAGCATACCTCCCTGCCCCAGAACTACATCCCAGTCTTACACCCTCACCCAGGGGTGTAGCAGTAGAGCTGGTATACAGGATCATGATGAAGGGCAGTTACCACAGAAAACCAAATAGATACACCTTCTTTGGCCAATAATCATAAAAATTATTAAGGATTATTAGAACAACATCCCCAGGAGCAGAAGGACTATGGTCCACATTTTATAGTAAAAAAAAAACAACTTTTATGTTTACTATAATCCTGCTTTAAAACAAACAAAAGAGTTCTGAACGGAATCAAATATTATATGCCATCTTAAGTGATGGAGAGAGTGCCTCTGGGTTTATACATGGCACTGTGAGGTTGAAGGTTCAGTGCCGTTACCCTTGAGCCAACTTTGCCTCTAAAGATGATGCATCTGTAATAATGGCCACAAGCCTTTTCCCCTCTTTGTCGCAGCCACTGAAGCCAGAGAGGGTGAGATCAGACATAAGGGTGTGTCTACAACTAAAAGTGCCTTGTGGGGAGGTTAAACAGAGGAGCCTATGCGGCTGTGATTCCAAATCCAGAGGCTTCTAGATAGCCTATTCTTAGCAATCTTACAACTCAGCTGCATTTCTTTCTCGCTCACAATCTAAATATCAGTTTTTTTTAATAAGTCAATCTGCAACTATTTGAGCATGTATTATTCGTCAGGTACTCTGCTAGGTCATAGGGATAGAGCAAATATAGACATAGTTCCTCTAATAATGGTACTTTGGGTCAAGTAGGAAAGACAGACAATGAACATAAAATTGTAAGAAATTGTAACAAAGGTGGGTAGAGGGGGATACAGGAATCTTTAGCAAGGGGATGTCATGTAGTCTAACAGGCTCAGGAATGTCAGGAAAAGCTTCTCTCAGGAAGTGACATATAAGCTGAGTTCTAAAGATTATGGGTAACATGTACCCAGAGGAACGGTTTCAAAGACAAGTATAGGACCTTGTTAGAGAACCGGATAATGTTTACTCCCACTCAGTATTACATGAGAACTTCCAGGAATCAGTTACACACACACACACACACACAATCTGCAGTACAGTTGATGTACAACAAACACCTCTAGGTTACCTGTTCTCAGGGAGGGCATCTTGTTTCAGTTGAAAGTTCTCATTTACGGCAATTTCATGAACAAGAGTCATGTTTTCTAAGTTCCTTGCTGCACCCATCACTTCGTCAAATGTTACAACCCTGGGAGGGCTTGCTGCTGAGAGAAAAGCAAAAACCAGGGCATGTTGTAGAAGAGAAGCTGTCATCCAACGAAGCCTCCTGATGCAGCTAGAGTGTAAGTTATTCCAACATATATTTTCAGGGTTTAACAAGAATATATACTAAAATAGGTGGATTCCCCTACTTAACATATAAGTCTTCAAAAATTTAAGAACTCCTTTGATAGCTTCAGTCACTGACAAATTTTCAATGTTTTTGAGATAATCTTATTAATATTAATATAGGCTAAGTTAATTTTTAAATTAAATCACCTCATTATTGTGCCTATTATAGTTGCATTTATTACATGTAATATACAGAACATTAATGACTATTTTTATTCTGTAATTCATAATTCTCATGAATTTAAGCAGATTTAATATAAAATAATTGACATTGTAAAACTATAATTTCTAAAAATATAGGCAGTATAGCACATGCTTAGGTTTGGTTCTAAGTTTTGCCACCTGGTAGTTATCTTGACTTCACTGAGACATAACTGACCTCCTCATAGTGCTGTTCTGAGGTGATTAAATAAGATAATTTAGGTAAAGAAGAACACAGTAAGAACTCAATAAATGTAGATAATTAAAAGAAAATAAATCTGATAAGCTGCATAATGAATTTTGCAGAAGTACTAAGTACTTATTCTATTATTTCTAAAGATTATTCTACAAAATTATTTTAATAAATCAGTTAATTTTGAAATCACTGTTGGAACTCTTAGTTCCTATTAAAAAGCATTATCTCAGATAACCATACTGACTAGCAATATTGGGCTACCTAAAATCATTTTAAGAGGAGGAGGAGTGGGGAAGAGAGAATGGTTATACACAGAATCAGTAAAACCCTTCTTCAGAATTGCTAGGTACCCCTTTGGAGGCATCAACCCTGTACACAGTGTAAAGAGTAAGAAAAAGCACAGACAGCTGAATGGCTGCTAGCAAATTCTTTTGCCAGTTCTCTGTCTCACAAAGAATCTCCTTAAAAATGCCTGCACACTATGGTCCAATAATCCAATTATGTCAAAAGAATTCCTGGAAAGGCTTTATGTACTAAGATGTTCATAAAACACTGTTTACAACAGCAAAAATCAAACAAACAAAAAACAACAAATTGAATGTCCAATGATAAATCAATGGTCAAATTAATGTCATCATATATTCACTCGATGATGTAGTAAGTAGTTATGTAAATGTTTTGTTGTGATACTAAGTGAAAAGAGTGTACACAAACACACACACACATCTGTTTATGTGAAGAATGAAGATATGACAAAGCATTGTCAGCTGCCATCTTTGGGTGATTTATCAGCAATGTTTTCTTTTGCTATACTTATCAACTCCCCAGTTTTTAAAAATAAGAATGTATAAATCTGAAATAAATACAAATGAACAAAATTTTTGGAAGTGGGCATCTGACCATATTAAACATTAGTTGCTTTTTTCCTCAATGGCTTTGCCAGCTTAAGTGTTCAATATTTTCTATACAAAATTCCAATTAAAAAGCTTTGGAAAGAAAAAAAGACAAATGCACTTGCTTTACACATCTCTACCTTCCACACACAATGAAGCAAAAAAGATGTCTCCCTTCACTGGGGCCACTCTTTTAATGCCTTCTCACCCTCTTGGTGTAGTAATTCTCCTTAGGGGCCCTTTTCTGGGGTGATTTGCACAACAGTTTTTGAAATCAGCAGGAAACCCTTAAGATTATTTCACTTCCTCCCTGACCCTTGAATTGGGGCAACTTTCCTTTCAAGTAAATCAGAAACAATCAGAAAAGACCCATTTGAATTTACCCTTGAATGTGGGCCTTTACAAAGTGATGTCAAGGGACTGGTTTGCCACTACTTGAGAAAGACAGGTGGGGTTGATTTACAGTCACACCGAGGCAGATCAGACACAGTGATGATAAGAAAAAATGGGCAAGTTGTAAACTTTAGTGCCTATTTATTTCTGAGAGTTTGTACAAGGTAGCTGCGGGGCCTCTGCAATGGTACTCCGGTAGATTTAGAAAGAAGGGGAAGTCTGTCCTCTGATCTCAGTCATTTCTTAGTTTTAGAATCCAACACACATGTCCAGAACCAGCCCTCCCCTGGCCTCTGCTGCCATCAGCTTACAAGCAGGAGAGCTGGATTTGCTGGAGGAGTCACTTGTAAAGCTCTGCCTGGAACACTCATAGTCACTGAGCGACGCCATGCTTTCGGAAAACCGGGAAGAATCTGAGTCGCTGGGCTGGTCCTCACCCACATACTGCTTCTCGCCATTGAAGGGCATTTTGCGTCACTTGAGTGTGGGGTAGAGAGAGAGTACCTGCACAGACAAACAGACCCTGTGTCAACATTCTGTGGTACTTCACTGCTGGTGCCAATACTTCCTCCAGGGTAGATACTCGTGTCGCACCTGTCACAGCGCTGGAAAGGCTCACAGAAGATGGCCTCACGCTTCCCATAGCACCCCAGCCAGGCTATCACTAGGCCTTCGAGACTGCCTTCCAGAAAAGGAAACCACAGCTACAGGTGTGAGCTTCCTCAGGACACCCTCAGCGTGAATGTGGACTGTCAGTAATAACAGATCCTTAAAACCAAAGCGCAGACCACAGCCTCTTCTCCAGGCTGCTGAAACATGGGAGGGAAGAGTGAGAGTGTGGGTTTGTCACGTGGCCTCGAGGAAGTCACTGAACTACCTACCTCATCAGTAAAACTGGGCTGACAGACTAATCTCATAGGATTACTTGAAGATGAAACAGGATTCATCTTATTAAAAAGTGCTTAGGGCCCAGCCAGTGTGGCTCAGTGGTTGAGCATCGACCCATGCATCCAGAGGTCACCGGTTTGATTCCCGGTCAGGGCATGTACCTAGGTTGCAGGTCCGATCCTTGGGGTTGGGGTGCATACAGGAGGCACCTGGTCAATGTTTCTCTCTCACATCGATGTTTCTCTCTCTCTCTCCCTTCCTCTCTCTCTAAAAATCAATAAAAACATATCTTTAGGTGAGGGGGGTAAGTACTTAATACAGCACTCAACTATTAGCTATTGTTATTGTTATTGTTCCTGTTTTGTTTTTAATAAAATATTTTTTATTTCAGCCTCATTAGTTGTCTGTGAGCCTCCTGGGAAAAGGAGAAGGCTAATTAAAATCTCTGACTGGCAAGTCTTTGTTCCTCTCCATTTTCCCGTGAACTGCCATGATATGAAGAGTAAGGCCTGAAATTTGCTTTATACTTGACAATTTACAAAGTACCCACTACCACCCAATGAATAACCAGGCACAAAAGATCCCAATTCACAGGCTGGAGTAACAGACTCTGGGGGACAAGAAGACTTAGTATGCCATAAAACCAGTCACTTGACTACATACAGTGCTGCTTGTGGGATTGCCTCCCTGGGCTGGGCAGGGCAGGGCAGTTGGGCCCTGTCACCCCCTTGAAAGGAGATCCTGGGCACACAGGATACCCAGGCCTACGCCCAGGAGCCTGAGCCAGGCCCGTGAGAAAGCTGGCCTTCACCTGAGTGTGGTGGCAGCTGACACTGAGGGGAAACCTGGGCTCGAGGAGAAAGGCATCTCCAATCCTAAATGGACAGTAGTGATAGTAAGGGCCCCCTGAGTCTCTTTAAACCTGACCCAGCTCATGCAATGAGGTGCACAGTCTTTAAAGCTCTCAGGATGTGAAACCACAACTATACATAGTATGCCTAGAAATACCCGCAGTTTCTTCAATGATTCCTTTCATATTTATTGAGTGCCTACTGTGTACCAGGCAATGGGAAAAATAATAGAAACAAAACAGACAGGGCCCTGTTCTCATGGCTCTCAAGTCCAGTTACCTAAAACTGTGTGTGCCAGATGCTGGAAGACAAGAAAAGGCAAAACAAGGCATTGCTGAGGAAACGTGAGACAGGAGAGGCAGGCAGGGCTGGGACTAGGTGGGAATCTAGCCTTTGTTGAGAGAAATAGTGCCACTTTTTATCTTTCGGGTGGTAGAGACAAGGATGGGCCTGAAAGGAACTTATAAAGGGTCAAAAGTCCAAGGGCATTTGTACCTGGCCTCACCTAAACAAACTTTTTCAGACCTGCCACTCACAGAAATGCCTCCTTGCTTGGCCCACCACTTTTGCAAACAGAAAACCACTAACTTGGAGGTTGCTTCTGCAGACTGAAGGACAAGGAGTTGAGTGTAGCTGCCAGGAAGCTACCAGGCAGAGAGAGTTACCTTATCCTAGAGTCCCAAGGCCAACCACCATGAACACAGGCTATAAAATAGCCCTGAACCCTTACATCCTCAGTGGTGAAATAACCTCCTTACCCCATGCAAACTAGATTCTACTTGAGCTTTAACTCCTATCTGCTGGGGAGGAAGAGAGAGGACAAAAGAAAAACATCTGCTCTAATCCTTTCACTTATACCAAACCCAAGATCCTAAATGGAATGAATGCTTGCCCTTCCCTCTAGCTTAGTCTCTTTGCCAATATTTTACTTCTCATTGATGGCACTTCTTGAAAATGCCACCTCCTCCAGGAAGCCTTCCTTCTACCCTCTGGCCAGAGCTTAAGACACTCTTCCTTGTACACCTGCAGCATATCTCCTAAATCTCTGTGACAGTGCTTTAGTCCCTTGCATAGTGCTTTTCCTCCCATGGCTACTTCAAACTCTCCTTAAAAAGGCAGGGACTGTGTCTTATCCAGGGCCAGGTATGTGACAAGTATTCATTTGGTGTCAGCTGAATTGGAACCATTGAATCCCACTTGGTGCAGCTTCAACCAGAACATTTGCAAACTGATATCACTACGCACTTACAGGCCTGGTACTGCCAAAGTTCAAGCACTAGGGAAGAGAATCTACACCGAAACCTACCTTACTAGGTTTAAGACTTAATATTCCCTGGTCCTTATCACACTCTTATTTGAATATCTTAAACTTTGTTTCGCTTTATTTTTTTTCCAGTCATTCCACTGTAACAATGGTGCTATGTGTGGCCTGCTCTTATTTCTCTTCACTTTGGCTGTTTTTTCCAAGTAAAGGTGAATAAAAGCTTCCATCCACTGGAATTTATTAACTAGGTTAATTCATACATCAATCCATTGGATTTATTTAACCATAAATTCATCCATTAAAATTTATGAACTGTCCATTTTTCCCTACTCCAGCTAAACAGCACACTTTGTAGGTTTTTAAATTGTATTTAACAAGGCAGCAAAGTACAAAGATTTAAAAAATAAAAGATCTAGGCCTGGCTGGTGTGGCTTAGTTGGTTGCACATCGTCCTGTGCACCACAGGGTCACCACAGGGTTGCTGGTTCGATTCCCAGTCAGGGCACATGCTCAGATTGCAGGCTGGATCCCTGGTATGGGGTGTGTAGGAGGCAGCCAACTGGTGTTTCACTCTCACCTTGATGTATCTCTCCCTTCCTCTCTCTCTCTAAAAACCAACGAACTATTCTTTTAACTAACTAACTAACTAAATAAATAAATAAATAAAAGATCTAATTTAGAAGTTGGAAGTCAAGAATATGAGGCCTGAGTCTGTCATTAATTTCCTATGTGACTTTCTGTACATCACATCTGCTCTCTTCACCTCATTTTTCTGAGTGGGTTGGGCCAGTTATATATTTCCTTCCAGCGAGGAATTGCTAAAATGCTGTAAACTCAGAATTCCATGAGGCATCACTAGAAGTTCTGAAAAATTACATGTGCTCATGGCAGACATAGTTAATAACATGCAACTATACTTTCTTCCAACAATTCACTACAGGTAGTTTCTGGCACAGGGAATGCAACCGACTGTTTAAAAGCTTCAGAATGTTTTGAGCCTTGTTTATTTGGCAGAAGCCTCCCCCAACACTGGGCTTTAGTGAATCTAAGCAGAAACATTTTTTGAAGCCAAAATGTCCATTATTACTTTATTAGGAAATTGCCTGCTTCCTCCTCCAGGCAGTCTAATATTACCTAACTCATAGGGTTGGTGTGAAATTTCATTTAGTCAATGTATGTAGAATGTTTGGAACAGTGTCTGACACAGTGTAAACAGGATACAGATGTTTGCTATTATTAGTATAATTTGCTTTTGTTGTTGTTGTTGTTATCATCATTTTAGGCATTAAAAACTCTAGAGGGAAGAACAGTTTTATCCCATGATGATAAACGCATGTTCCCCTACAGATAAAGAAGTCTGATAGTTAACCTAGGACGGAACTCTTGTACTTGTTTAAAATAGAAAAGCCAAAAGCAAGTGGCCCATCCTGGTGTAAAGGGTCTTCTGTAAGTTCCTTCACATCTGTTCTTACTTTTCTTGGCCTCAGGTTTCCATGTAAGTCATCTGGGAACAATGCTACTTGACTCAAAACATTGAGGGTAATCAGACTGCTTTTAAGACTACTTCGGATTCTCTTAGAACAAGTGATAATGAAACCTGGCTGATTCTTTCAGAAAGCTATTGCTTCTCATACGGTCAAACTTAGATCTACTTAACCTTCACCACTACAACTCACAAGCAAACCACACAACTTTTCAGGAACACCGTATCTCAAACCTGGAGGATTTATTCATGGGACAAAAGTAAAGTCAAAGGTGAAAACAGAAGAAAACTCCAAGCAAAGCCTCCAATACTAGAGTGGATCATTGTTCAAAGAGAATCACATTTTTCATTGCAGTGTTCCATGTTTAATAATAATAAATGCAACATTTTATCATTCCTTCCAAGGCCAAAGACTGGGATGTAGCAGACAATTAAATATTTCTTGTTGAATAAATGGCAGAATGATCACTGATGTTTTAGACAGGAGGGAATGGGTACAGGGACCTGAAGAGGCTAGTCCTGTGTTTCATAACAGATGTAGGGAAGATTTGTTTTAATTGCTGTGAAGATTGAATAGTCTATGTCAAGTAGTTAAACTCCTAGTAATAGATTATCATTTTATTCTTACTAAAAGAAGTTATAAATTCCCAAAATGTCAATGTCTTAAGAACAAAGAAAGGCTAGGATATGTTCCAGATGAAAAAATATTTGACAGTGAGTGCAGTAGATGATCCTAGACTGGATCCTGTACCGAGAGGTGGGGGTGAGGGTGGGGGGAGGGCATTATTGGGTCAATTGAGAACACTGTTATAATACTTGAATCTACCTCAGTATTACAACATTAAATTTACTGAAGTTGATAAATGCACTGTGATTATGTATTTAGGAATAAAAGGCCATGATGTATACACTTTCTCTCAAATTATTCAAATGAGAGCGAAAACAATAAAGCATGCAGAGCAAAATGTTAATAGGTGACTACAAGTAAAAGGCAGACAATAGGGGGTTCGTTGTATTACTCTTGCAACTTTTTATGTAAGTTTAAAATTATTTCTGAGCAAAAGGTTAAAAGAGAAGAAAATATACTAAACTGAAACTTCAAGTCTAATGTGAAACAGTTCAGTCTCCTGCAGTTTTTAGATTCTGATTGTTCCCACCACTGTGATAGCTTAGATACCACTCTATTACAAACATTCTTCTACATAGTCAAACTTGTCCCAATGCCCTTCTTGAACAGTACCTAGAGAATAAAACAGGAAATAGGCCAGAGCCCTTCCAAAGAGGAAAAATAAATCATCCTTTTTAAGAGTCCTTTGCAATGTGGTTTCCCTTTTCTTAAGAAATCTCCTGGCCGTGGTTTATAATCCTTTGGTGACTGGCCTCTGCCCACCTCATCCTGTACCACTCTCCCGCTAACCCTTCTTGCTCCAGACACAACAGCCTTCTTTGGGTCCCTCAGACAAGCCAAACTTCCTACCTCAGAGCACTTATACCTGCTATTTTCTCCTCCTGGGATGTTCTCCCTGATCACAATTGGCTCCTTGTTGTCATTCAGATTTGAAATTAAATGTTATGACTTCAAAGTCACTTTCCCTGATATCCCCACACACTCCATCTAAATTAGCCATCTAGAGCTTAGAACTTTTCCTGGGATAGAGTGAGAGCTCAATGAGTATCACTGAAGAACAAATTAACCCATACTCCTATTCATAAGACACCTTGGGCTTTCCTTTCCTTCGGCCTCACTCACATTACTTATATTTTCATTTTTTGGTCACTTACAGTACTACAATTGTTTCTGCACATCTGTCTCCCCACTAAATTTTAAGCAGCTTGCAGGAAGGAGCTATGTCTCTACTCTGTAATTCCCACTGCCTAAGAAATTCAACACATTTCTAAGTCACCAATAATGCAAACTAGCAAAGACACAGTTACATTGTGTCTTTCCATCCTCTCAATGCTCACTAATAGCAAATAATAAAAATGAAAGCGAAAGGTTATTAAGTGCTTATTTTGACCCAACCCCCATGGAAAGTGCTTTAAGTGTTTTATCTCCTTGAATCTTCATTATAACCTTGCTAACTAAGGTAATGCTATTATACCCATTTTATACATAAGAACCTGAGGCTCAAAGAGGTTAAATTACTTGCCCAAGGATTCACAGCAGTAGCAGCAGCACAACTCAAATCCAGGTGGTGGATCCTAAAGTGCATGCTTTTTATCACTCCAGGATGGCTGGAGAAAATGTGGTGTGCTGCTCATTCTTTCCACTCCCACTCTGCCAAATCGATCCGCCTATCATCACATGAATATCTGCACATGTGGAAGCAAGCTGACCTTATCCCAGGGTGGTTACTCGAGTATTACACCATGAAGGGCATCACTGAAAGAGTCCATTGTCCAAAATAACTCTCAACCACCCCACTAGAGTGACTGAAAATCCTCTATCAGGGAGCTATTCTTTAATCACTGCAAAATCCCTAGTTAAAACTCAAATATCAAAAGGGTTAACTGCTTACAACTACGTTAAGTCAAAAAAATTTTTGAAGTGAATGTTTCAGATTATCCTTTGCCCTGAGGAATGAAATCCATCCAATTAAGGTTGTTACAGAAAAAATTTCAAGAAACATCTAGTGGTTATCATCTTTGAAGACTCAAAGTCAGGTGCTAGGACAAGCATTCACATCTGTGTAGTAAAGGACAAGGCGTCAGAGAAGTAAGACTGGGCTCCAAAGAAAACCTACAGATGGTGTGAGAAATCTGTATCTTCTTCAAAATGCTGCCTTAGAACCAGTCCCAAACAGCAGTGCTAAAAAGTTCATTCCCAGCAAAGCAAAAACCACAGAGCAGAGTGAGTGCTTGCTCCAGTGAGCCAGAGAATACTGGTCTTCTTGAAATTAAAGCCAACAAAGGGCTAGATAAATGACAACAAGCCAGTCATTGTCTAAAACAACAGATGTTCACACTACACATAACATGACAGCATCAGGGAGAAGGATTTCTAGGCACTTTTCATACTTGAAAACACTGCTCCTCCCACCCTGGACTGCCCTGTTTTAGTACCTGTGCCCTCAAGGGCCCTAACCGAACCCACCCCACCCCACCCCCCAATGGCACTGAAGTTGTTTCCACAAATGACTGGGTATCTTTAGCCCTGGGCCACTTCAAGTCAGGCCACCTCTGTGGACTGCCAGGGTGATGTATGAAATCCCTGGAGGCAAGAGGAAAAGGCAGAGAGGGAGCCTCCTAAAGCCAGAAACTGCCATAACCTCATTGTGGTTGGCAGGGAGCACACAGCAAGGTCTCTGGGCTGGCGATCATGAGACCACAGGGATCTTGGGGACTGGTGGGCCCACTGGGGACAAATGGGACAAGGACAATTTGTCTAGTTTCTTCAAGGTGAAAGTAACAGGACAACCATCCAAAGCAATTATTTCCTAAACTTCAGCCATTTGAATACCACTCTTCACACCTGTTTCCATATTGCCATCCTCACCCATACACTCATTTCCCAATCACTTCTCTTTATCTTCACCAGATTTTTGCATTTAAATACATTTAGTTTAAAAGGAAACTTTAGATCATTGTGAAATCGGTCACATCATTGTGAAATCGCTCATTTAATGGACCAGTTTTTCCTAATACTAACGAAAACACATAACCATGCTCGTCCATGTGCCACGTCAAATCATCACTATTAACCCCAACGGTGCCACCAAGAGGAGCAGCTTTGGGAAGCACAAGCCACCCCTGAGAGGCCGGGGTTGGACCCCGGGCCTCAGTGGCACTTCCCGCCTTTCCCTTAATGAGGGTAACCTCTGGGGGACGCGCTGGAGCCTGCACAGACTACCCCTCCCCCCCACACACGTCCCCCCGCAGCCTCTCCCCTCCTGCAGCACGTTTCCTGTCAAAACAAACTCTTGGGGGAGGGGACGGCGGAGGTCGAGCCGAGTGCCAGGGAAACCCCGGCAACAAACCCCAAACAGACGCTCCGGGCCCCGCCTGGCCTTCGCCGCGGTTCGGGTCGCTTACTCAAGGCGGGCCGGGGGTCGCAGGCGACAGGGTGTCCCTTCCCGGAGCCCGGATGGTGGGAAGCCGCTCGCAGAGCGGTCGCTGGCACGGCCCCAGCGAGATGTAAACAGCGGCCCAGCGGCAGCGACCCTGCCGCCTCCCGGGCCCGAAGCCCGCGACCACCCGGACACCCGTCGTGGCTACTCGGCGCCCGCGCCCCGCTCCCACGCGGGACGGCGGTTCGACGTCAAACAAGAGGACTGGGGGGAGCGGGCTTTATCGCCCCTCGCCCCTCGCCCCTCGCCCCGGCGTCCCAGGACTGAGTTCTAAGCTGGGGCCGGAGGCCCCGGGCTGCCCTGTGCCAACGTGCTCCCCTCCGCCGGCCTGGGCCCATCACCTCAGGCCGGCGACCCCTTCCCCCGGGATGGATACGCACCCGGCCTGGCGCGGAGACAGGCGGAGAAAGGTGACTGATGAGCCCGGATGGAGGGTCTTTGGGTGTCCCCTCATCCAACACAACACAAGCACTCGTAAAACTCACCAGTCCAACCATCCCCTGCCTCCCTGCCCCCCCCCCTCCACGCGGTATTTAAAGGGCCCGGAGGGACTCTAACGAGGCAGCCACGGCGTGACCATCACGTAACCGGCGAGTGGGGGGAAGCCTGCACAGGGAGAGGGGAATCCGGGGCACACCAGGCTCCGCTAGCAGCACTCTGACAGATTTCACCTACTACAGGACACATGTCCTCATGTTCGGAGGAAAGAAGCTGAGGAGAGCGTGGACTGAAGATGTTTTGGATGCACGAGGGAACACGTCCCCCCGCGCTCTGGGAGTGGTGCAGTCCAGGGGCTCCTAGGGGCGGGGATAGAAGTGTTTACGGAACTGGGGCAGCAGTGCAGCCCCGAGCTCCCGGCTTTGGAGGCGGGGCTTGTCAGGGAGCTTGGGGGCGGGGCCTAGCTGGGGGCCCTGAACTGGGGGTGGAGCCGGGGCTCTGGGGGCGCGTCGAAGCCACCTTCGGATGGGCGGCTCCTGGTAGCGCTGGACTGACCCACTTGGGCTTCCCCGGGGCGCACCAGCGTGTGGGCATTGCTGCAAGCTTCTCGGTAGCGGGTGGAACTTTTACTACCCGAACACTCCTTATTTAGACGGGGCGATCCAAATTGGGCGCTCTCTGTCACACCGTCGACACAGAGACAGCCCAAATGACAACGTGACAAGTGTGTTTCCACGCACATAAGCAATCAACCGTGTCTCCCATGTTTGTGTCCGCACCTCCACATAAATACGGGTCCAGATTTGCATGTGGCTGGACTAGACGATTAACTACTGAGTCACACCCACCCATGCTCTCTGAAGGGTAAACTTGTGTGCATGCAAAAGATAAAGCATCTTACTTCCTCTAAGGTTCTTGGCAGCACCTAACTCTATGTCCGGGAGAGGTTTCGACATTGGTTAATGTAACTAAGCAGTGCCAGGATGGGCTTTGTGTGGTCAGGCCTACTGCTCAGCTCTTCGTAGGCATGCTGCAGGGTGTACAGAAACACCCTTCCCCCAACCTCGCACATGAAAACCACTCTATCTTCTGCCAGGGATAAACTGGTGTTATTTAGGAGATAATTCCATGCAGGTATGTAAGTGAATTTAATATAGGCTGAAGTATTTTTATTTAGTGCTGAAATCATGTCTGGATTGTGGTGGCAAAATTGGGTCTAGGAAAAAAACAGACAACATTTTAAAGGAGGGTAGAAAACCAGTTATCCTAGATGGGGAATAATTCAGTGTTACAACAGGGACTCGTCTTGGGTTCATATCCTGGCTCTGACATTTACTACCCATGAGATCTTGGACAGTGTGGATAACAGTCTCAATGGGTTATTATGAGGATAAAATGAAATAAAGCATGTTAAGTGGTTAGAACTGTACACAGTAAGCACTCAATTAGTGTTAGTTATTGAAACTATTTGGCAAACCTCTGCGAGCAAACTTATCTGGTGATCTGCATAAAATTGTATTTGTGTCTCCTTATGCCATTCTCTCCTCCCTTCTCTAAAAATATACAACTTGATACAAATCAAGAGATTAAAGAGAAAATACTGTTGCCACCCAGGTTCTTTCATGCCCTGTTCATACAGTTTGTTGGAATCAGCAGTCAGGATAATAGACAGCTCCAATTTCCATTCTTGCCAAATAACCACAACATAACAACTACCATCAACACCCTAAAATCTCCACAATAGAAAGATTAACCAAAAATATCCTTCAAACTCCTGGACACTGTGACAATGACACATTGCATCTTTGCTTCCTTTGTTGCCTTTGCGGGAGCTTAAGCATTGTTTTGCTCTATTACATAACTTGAAACAGGTGAGCATGAGTCAAGAGAGTTAACCAGTCTACCTGGTGATCAGCTGCTTGACCCTGGGCATGGCATTTATTTTAAAGCTCAAATATGTAACTCTCAAGGCCACAAGGAAGCAATTTTTGTCAAAGCAGGTGAGTCAAGTTTCAACATGTGCTGGGTTGAGAACCTTGAGGGGGTAGGGGGGCCTTGGACACTGAAGCCAAGAAGAGAAAATATCCTGGAAGCACAACCTTCTGTTAGTTCGTCATTAAATAACTTGCTATCTGGAAACTTTTTGGTCAGTTATCTGACCAACTGCCCTCAGCCTGACTTAGATATAAAAGCACTTTGAAAAAACACAGTGCTGTAAGGTATTAAGCAGTTCCTTTAAAAAATGAGCCTTGTATCACATTCTTGCTCAGAGAGCTCAGACAGTCATAGAATAAAATCCTCCTTGCTCAGATTATGTTCAAGACCTACAGGGGAGGGGGGGGGGTTGAAGTCTGAAAATGCAACCTCTTTAGGAAATAAAATAATTAGCTTTTTATTTGAAGAAGACATTATCACACCTAATTTTTCTAACTTTTTGGGGGGACACTTGGAAAACTCATAATAAAAGTCTGTTTTCCCCTATAAACTACACAGTAGACTAAATTAGATCTATTGCTTTTGGCTAAGGGCAGTCAAAATTTTTGCTCAGTAAAGAAATGTAAATACCAATTTTCTTTTTACACATCTGAGTTTTAGATTACAATTAATCCTTGAGGAAAAAATCAGAAACTCCAAATCTGAGTTATTTTAATATAGATTTGCAACCTCTCAACCCCTTAACTTATATAATGGAGCTGCACCTTGTGCTGACCTGGCATAATGCAAGTTCAACTAGACTACTCAGATGGCACAGAGAATAATTTCAACACTTGAAGAGATTTTGCCCCTGTTCTCTCTATGGAAATTTCGAGGCTTCTCTTCCTGAGTTCATCTCAGTTTCCAAGTTTCTCGTTCTGTTCCAAGCTGCCTACCTAGAACTGGCTTCATGATGTACAACCTGCAAAGGTGCACAGGACCCTACAGTTGGAAGAGCCCTATACTTTGGTTAATGTTCTGCTGCTCCAATCTTGAATTCGTAATATTTTTTTAACAAGGAGCCCCACATTTTCATTTTGCGCTGCACCTCATAAATTATGTAGCTGGTCCTGCTCTCACGACACAGATTACGAGTCTAGTGTTTAAAGGTACTTATTTCCCCTTAACCTGTCCCCCAGTGCAAAGCAATTATTTTATCTAGTGCTCAGTTGAAGAAACATATATCTGATTAATGCCGTAAGCAAAAACACAGGGGTGTATCCCAGGTCTTATGGCTCATTGAAGGAACTTTCAAGGATAATTTTGACTGCACATAATTTTGACTTTATGTTGTCCCTTTAGAACCTAACCCCTCACATAAGATATTACTCTGCTGTAAGTAGAAAAATTGATTAAATGGAACTTCATGTCTCCTTTTCTCCCCTATTCATCTTAAGGTGCTAGGATAGGTTAAAATTCAGTAAGAGTGGGAAAAGTCAATATAAAGTGAACAGAATAAATAATTTGGCTAATACATAAACTAGAAAATTGGTCATTGAATGTTCAAAATTTAACCACATCTTTTTGGCAGATTTTCTCTTTTTTTTTTTCTTTTTGTCTTAAATATAATGCAGATTTAGATCATTGACCAGTTTTGAAAGTTAATCAAAACACTGATGCTTAATCAAGTTTCCAAAACACCGAAACCAGTTTTTCTCTAACTCCACTGAACTAAATTAACATAAAATTGGAGGTTATTTCTCATTCCAATTGTTTGTACTGTCAGACCTCAGACACAGTTCCAGACCCTGGGCCTCACATACTAAAAGAAAAAACATTCTTAATACCCTCCCTTCACCCTCCATGAGTCCCTTCCACTTACCTGGAAATCACTGTTGTCCTCTAGAAAGCAAAAATGAGTGAGCCAGTGGAGAAGACAACTCTGGGCAGGAAGTAGGAGGGGCCAAGGAGAGTTGATGCTCAAGGAGCACCTAGAAAAAACCAAAGAGATGATGATTCAGAGCCCTGGCCAAGACATTCATGTTCTTTACCCCACCTCTGGGCCAGCAGGCAGTCCTTTTCTAAATGCCCTCATAGCTCAATCATGGTTGAATATTTTGATCTTCACTTTAAACATCAATGGGAAAACCAATGGGGGAAGAGCTTCTAAAACAAGAGGCAAGCCCTGGCTGGTTTGGCTCAGCGGTTAGAGCGTCGGCCTGCGGTCCTGAGGGACCCGGGTTCGGTTCCCGCTAAGGGCGCGTACCTCGGTTGCAGTTTGTCCCTGGCCCTGGTCGGTTGTGCGGGTGGCAGCCACTCGATGTGTTCCTTTCACGTCGATGTTTCTCTCTCTCTCTCTCTGTTCTTCTCTCTCCCTCCCACTCTACCTGAACAAAAAATGGAAAAATGTCCTCGGGTGAGGATAAAAAATAATAATAATAAAAAAATAAAAATAAAACAAGAGGCAAAACTTAGAAGACATAAAGGAAAAAAACTAAGAAATGTGTCTTTGGATAGCATGTTCAACATAAAAAAACATGAGTTAGAGCAATGATTATGTGGCGATACCTTTTATACTTGATAGAGAACTTGCACTTGAGAGCACATACATGTATTCTACATATATGAAATGCATAGAACTGGACTAAAAAGTTACCCTGTAGCCCTGGTCGGTTTTGCTCAGCAGTTAGAGCGTAGGCCCGCAGACCAGGGAGTTCTGGGCTCTGTTCCAGCTAAGGGCACATACCTCGGTTGCAGTTCCTCTCCGGCCCTGTTGGGGTCATGGGGTCATGACCCCATGGGGGTGGCAACCAGTCAATGTGTCTCTCTCACATAGATGTTTCTCTCTTTCTCTTCCTCCTTCTCTTCCTCCCGCTCTATCTGAAGATAAATGCAAAAAAGTCCTCCGGTGAGGATTAAGAAAAAAAAAAAAAGTTACCCTCCTTTACAATGAGAATGTATTCATTCAGAGGTCACAAATATAATTTCACAGTGCCAATACAATAATACCACTCTTATTATTGTATGTCCTCCTATACATACCCTAGTGGTGGTGGGCTATTAACACTGCACAATAAATAACTTTCCCATCTCTCTTTAATCATATTTTTAAAAGTCATGAAAACAAATGGAGCTTTTTATATAAAGTACAGAAAGGACTAGATTTGCAAGAGGCCC